ATAGGGACAAAGACGATAAGGCAACAGACCAACAAATATCCAATGTTAGATGGTGTGAGTGCATTGAAGAAAATAAGGCAGGGGATGGAGAAGCCCAGCTGAGGAGGTTCAGGAAGGCAGTGCTGTCTGAGCATCCAATTTCACAGCAGGAACATTAGGCGCCCAGCAGTTCCTGGTCACCAAACAGAAGGGAGGCAATTCCACCAGGAAAGAGCATGCCTGGTATGAGGAGGGACAAGGTGTCTGGGTTCCAACTACAGACGCAGTGGGCAACAGGCCGAGGTGAGGAAGCACGGAAGGCCGGGCCAAGCAGGGGTGTGACAAAGTGTCCCCCGTCAGCTATTCATCCTTGGTTCTGGGTCTCCACAAAGCTCAGAGTCACATCCCTTGGCTCCCACAGTCTGCCAATAATGCGTACTGCTTTGACAAGAAGCAGGATGACTGATTGCTCATTTATACAACTCTCAGGGAGGTGTAGCTGGGGCATAAATATTTATTTCCTCCAGCTGAAGGCCACTCTTATAATGGGAAGCTGGACATCAGCTTTGGAACCTCAACAGATGATGTCATTGCTACTGCAAGGAACGGGACCTCACCGCCCCCAGCTGCGAGTCAAAGAGGCAGGCCAGGTGAACAGGCTGGGTCTCCACTCCTCCCACCCGTAAACACCAAGCCGGCCCACTGCAAGCCTTGGAGTTCCCAGGCTGAGGAGACCTGCGGCTCCAGATGTGGTATATTTCTGTGCCTGGCTCTGCTGGGCCCTCTAGTCAATTCCGGTATTTCTCCTTGTGTCCACGGCTGCCCAGGTGTCCCCATTCGCAGCTGCAGACTGAGCCCCCCCACCCCAGATGAGCCCGAGTCCCCCTTTCCCTTCTGCCCGCCTGCCATGGACAGGGCCTGTCCCTGCGCCCCCTGACCTGGACCAGCCGGGCCCCATCCTGTGGGTCTTGCTGTGAACCCAAGCGCCAAAGTCATCCAGATGTTGTCCTCACCTGACGGCCTCAGCTCTTACTTGCCAAACAATGGAACCACGTGGGAAGTTTTTGAAAACTACCAATGTCTGGCTTCTACCCCAGACCAATTATACCAGAATCTCTGGGACGAGGACCAGGTATTAGTATTTCAGAATTGCCTACATAAGTCCAGTATGTGTCCGGGGTTGAGGATCACTGTGCTGAAGGGACCTTCTTCAGCTTTAAAGTGCAAGCAAATGGTCTAAAGGTCTGGTTAAAATGCAGATTCAGATTCAGTAGATCTTGGAAAGTGCCCAAGGCTCTGCATTTCTAACAAGCGCCAGCAAGATGCAGGCACTGCGGGTCCACAGGCCGCACTCTGCGTGGAGGCAGCCAGGTTTGAGGGGTGGGGCATGAAAGTGGGCCTCGCTGAGGTTCTACATCCAAAGTAACTGTCTCCTAGGAGGCTCCCTTTCGAGCTGGAACGGACTTCCGGAAGAGTTAGGATAAAAGGCTGTTATGGAAGGAAAGAGGAATAGTTTGTTAACATGGGAATAGGAGCTTCTACACCTAAGAAATGATACAAGATCCACTCTCTTAAACCAAGTGCCCAGGACCTAGCAGGCACTCCACCAGTGCTACTCGCTCTGTTCATGGTATCATTGTTTTTATTATTGTTAAGGCTGGATCCACTCCTACATCAAACAAGCACAAGCACGTGCTTCCGATGTCCAAGACCCTGACAGAGCCGTACAAAGCCCTACAGAGCACTTCCACGCTCTGCGGGCGCGCCCCAGGCAGGGGCCAAGCACAGGAGCACACGGGTCTGTGGGCTTTCGTTTCAGACACAGCCCCGTGGCCCCTGCCTGGCTGAAGGGCACCCACGCCTCTGTTTCTCTCATTTGTGCTTCGTTCGCCCTGACTGGTGGATAGCCTTCCATAATCCCGTCATGGCTGACGCTGAGTGTTTGCTACCTGTCAGAACCTGTTTTAAGTGTTCTCATTGGTTTAACTTGTCACCGCCTTAAAGCAACTCTAGGCAGCAGGGAGGGCCAGAAAATAAACTGAAGAGATACATTTCAGAGGCCAGTGCTTGCCCAGTGCTTCTCAAACTTTACTTGCTGAATTCATCCAAGTGCAGGTTGCATTCAGCAGCTGAGATGGAGTCTGCAAGTCTGCATTTCTCACAAACTCCCAGGTGATACTGATAAGGCAGGTCCATGAAGAATATTTTGAGTAGCAAAGCCACCCATGTGCTGTGATACCTCCTGGTATTTCTGGATATCTTCCTTAAAATTCCCCTCAATACTCTCACCACCAAACTTCTACGACTGATGGTGTGTTCATTTGATGAACCACAGCCAATGGCAAAATCACAGTTAATCTCCACTTTGATCATTTGGGCAAAATTCTGTTTAAATTCTGTCCAAATTGCAATATTTTGTGGCAAAGGATATCAGCTTTCTGGAAGAGCAGTTGTGTTCACTTAACCTGTAGATGTCATGGGTTGTTATCAAATTGCTTTTAAATTTAAGTGCTTTCTGGACCAGGGAAACAACTCCCACTTCTGAAAGTAAAATGAAGAGTTCCCATCTGAGAAAAACTGACAGGGATTTCTCCAAACATGGGAGTAAAAGCATATAACTATAAGCTTGTTTTCTTTCTCAGATCACTAGAGGAGATGATATACATGGAACCACGAAGATTTGACAAATATTCCTGCCCAGTGAAAGGCAGGAAGGGCAAATCAAGACTGTCTACTTAATCAGTCTTGACTCAGTGGCTGGCAACTAGCTGGCTTGTCAACGGGACAGAGAAAATCGGAGCGGATGGGTGAAGGTAAACTCCCAAGGATGCTTTGGGTAACAGAGTGGCCTGAAGTGCTGGAATTACAGACAAGGCTCTGGAGGAGACTGACTTCAAGCTGTGAATCTTCAGGGAAAGAAAATGCGCTACTCGAAGACAGTCAAAATGCCAAGGGTAGGTTCAACAGTGAGCAGTGATCCTAAGGATTAGTTAGAATGGCGCCTTTGCATAATTTCCACAGCCTATAGCACAGCCCTGTGGGCCTCGAACTTTGTTCCATGTTAGAATCACCTGGGGAGCTTTAAGCTCCCCACTCCCCACCATGCTCAGGCCACACCCCACAGCAATTAAATCACGATCTCTGGAGTTGGGGCCCAGGTCCCCTTAATTTTTTGAAGTTCCCCAGGTGATTCCAACGTGCGGTCAAAGCTGGGAACCGCTGGCATGGTCTTTCCGCGTCCTCGCTCATAAAATGAGAGACGCCACCGGCCCAGGGGTTCTGCCTCTTGCCCGCGTGCTGGAATCGCAGTGGGCGGAGTTTTAACAATCCTGTTGCCAACACCATCCCTAGAAATTTTGGTTACTCTGTGGGGCCCGGGCCCCAGCATTTTTAACAGCTTACCAGGTGATTCTTAAGTACATCTGGAAAATGCAATAAAAAATAAAGTGCATCTGGGTAGATAACTACTGGCCTGGATGTGGTTTTCTCTTTTTATGCCAAGATTCCTCCTATTGCTCACATTTTAAGCATCTATGATGTTAAGGCTAAAAATGCATCTTAAACTTTTTGCAAAGGTGGGTCTCTCATCTTTCTTTTTAAATCAGGGATCTCTAACTTTGGAAAGGTCTATGAAGCCCCTTAAATTCTACACAACATGTTGGATGAATACATTTATTCACGTGTATGTATATTTTCTAAGGAGAATGTCCTTAACTTTATCAGATTCTCAAAATATTTAATGCTATTATCTTAAAGGCAAGTAGGTGGTTTCTGATTTAATAAATTTAAGAAAATTCAAGAACGAATGGGAAATAAATGTGATCCCAGCAGCATATTCACTATTATTTTGAATTTGCAGCACACCCATTGCCACCTACCTGTTGCATACCCTTATTGCAGGTTTAGTTCCGATGCTATTTAGCCCATCCTTTGAAAAAGGTGACGGATGCGAAGATTTCAGACCCAAGGATCAAAACAGCAGCTCTGTCGGAGACTGGGTTCAATACAAGTATGCCTGGTAAAGCTCATAGTGAAAAATGACTTCCCCAGCTGTACTTGTAAGAAGACTGTCTACTCAGATACTTTAGGAATCGGGTCTGCCACTGGGTTAGGATATTAGGACTTTCTAGTCCTGATTATTATTACCTTTATGCCTCAATTTAAATGGCAGCTTTCTTTCTTACAAACTGTCCCCATGTCCTTGGGAAAATTACTGAACCGTTCTGTTCCTCATATGGAATGGGGACAATTTAAGTGCTTTTAAGGTTACTGTGAAGAATAAGTAAGAAAATATATGCAAAATGCTCAGCCTAACACTTTGGCACAGAGCAAGATCCAATATATGTGAGGTTATATTACTATCATTACTAATGTCTTATTATTATTAACGTCTTAGTGACCTTGTCCAAGTCACTGAATTTCCTTGAGCTTCATTTCTTGCTCCACACGACAAGGAATGTGAGCCCTGCTCCGTTTCCTTCATACAGTTACAGCAATGACCAGGGAGACGAAAAGAAGGTACGCTGCTATTCCATGGTGACTCGTCGTCCACCCAGGAATCGCTAGCACACAGAAAAGGGTCACCCTGCCATACAGATGTAATCGCTACCCTCGCAAGTGCTTTTTGAGATTCTAATAGTTGAGGAGTCTCTACCATGGACTGCAGCAATTTCTTGTCACAGAGCATCCTCGGCAGCCTGAACCTTGCCCCACGTGGGCAAGTGGGTGACCAGACTCCACCACAAGCTCCCTTTCAGACAGCAGAAGTATGCCGGGCCCTCACTAAATCACAGATGCCCTAGATCAGCAGCGTGCCTCCAGCCCAGAAACTCATTGGCGGCAGCCTCTACCATGCCAGTCAATCCCTCCCCAGGGGACAGGCCCCAGACTCTTGCCCAAGTTCATCTGCCCATAACAGAGTCTCACAGCACAGGCTCCGCGACTCGCCCCACGGGAGTAGCAACATCCCGAAACTTCTCAACAACCTCCGCGAAGACTCCAGGCGGTCAGCTCTCACTTACCTGGGGTCGGCTTGGCCGTGCGCACGGGAGTGTAGTGGTTTTTGGAGGACGACCTGACCGGCGTGTTCTCTTTGGGGGAGGTATCGATAGCCGAGATCGTTTCTCTTTCACAGTGTGCTATGGGGATTGGTCCCTGTTGTCTCAGGATGTCGGCCAGAGCCCTAAAGGAGGAGGAGATCACACAGTGAGGTTCACCGAGCAGGCGTGCATGGCCGCAAAGGCCCTCCAAAGCACGGAGGCATGGCCTTCAGTCCACAGTCACGGCTTCATCGAGGGCTGGTCTTAGGAGGAAGGCAGGGCAGGGGTGGCCCTGCCTGGGGGTACAGGCACTAGAACGTAGGGAGTATGGATTCTTTAATTCATTTCAATCAAGGAACTCTGGGCACTTTCAAAATATTGCCTTCCCCTGATCCCGTCCCCAAGCCCCACAGATATCTGCAGCCGCTGGCCACTGCGGTGGAGGCTGACACTGTTGGCCCAGCAGCAGGTTACTCACATGAGAGCCACCGACTTCCCCATAGAAAAACATGCACCAAGTAGCACGCACTCTATACTGGTGGCCCAAATGAATATAACACACACCTCCTGCCCTCAAAGAAAGGTGCAATTTAGCTGCAAAGATGGTGTGCAGATAAAAAGATAAACATCAGAACGCACGGATGGTGCTGACAAGGAATACGACTGGCACTCAGAGGAGGGAACAATTACAGACACAGGGAGGAAAGGACCCAGGATGCAGGAGAGATGCACAGAGATGTGGCCGTCTTCGCTGGAGAGGCACACCCCTCCGCAGGAGGCCCAGCAACCCAGAGCACTCAGCATCCATCCGTCCCAGCAGAGACGGGGAAACAGGACCCACTGCCTGCCATCTGAGGGCTCCCAGTTAGGGGCAATCACGCCACAGCCGGGTGTCAAGCCGGACCTGCTCCGTGGCGCAGGACGTGAGATAAGCAGTGTTGAGGGGAAACAGCGATGCGCTGAGATACTCTAGAAGGGCCAAGATGAGGCAGGCGAGCCTCAGGAGATCACCGCCTGGATACTGTCATTCTAGGGCCGGGTCCCCAGGTCTGACTGAACCCATTTGCAGGAGCTGGGCCAGAACTCTTCTCTCTCCTTGGGGCGTCCCTGAGGTGTGGGGCGAGCAGCAGGCCTCCAGGCCCCTCCCAGCCAGCCCAGCCCAGCCCAGCCCAGCCCACCCCACCCCAAGGCTCCATTCACACGGGGATCCCAGTCCTACCTCCCACACGCCGTCCCCTAGGAAAGTGACAACCCTGGCAGTTTAAAAACATGCCTGGGAGTGACTGTTTCCTCCCATTATGCTGCTTCTGACACGCTGAACCTTCCTGGGAGAAGAACATCACACTGGCAATCTTATCTTTCAGTGACATTTATACAGCAATTTCAGATTTTCCAAATGCTTCCCCCTCGCTGGCTGTCTTTCCTTTGGCAGCACAGGGAGAAGCAGGCTCACGCCCCCTATCCCCTGCAGGGGACCAGCGGTGGGGAGAACACAGAAGCTCGCTCGTTTGGTAACGCAAGTTCAGGCGGACCTGCGGTCTGGGTCGGAGGTCTGAGGTTCAGGGCCTGGGAATCAGAAAAGGGAACGGCCTTGATGGTCCAGAGATTTGGGTTCTAATCTCAGCTCCACGTCTAATGAGCTGTGAGCCTCTGGGCAGACCTGTTAGTCTTTAAAAGTAAAATTTATTAAAGAGAACGAACAGACTGAGAGCTGTCAGAGGGAAGGGTGGCTGAGGAGCTGGGTGAAAAAGGTGAAGAGATTAAGCAAAAAAACACAAAAAACCCTCACCGACAGACAACAGCAGGGTGATGACCAGAGGGGAAGGCGGTGGGGGAGGCAGAAGAGGGTGTAGTGGGGTAACTGGTGATGGAAGGAGACTTACCTCGGGGTGGTGAACACAATACAATAGACAGAGGATGTATTGCAGGGAAGTACAACTGAAACCTACATAATTTTATGAACCAATGTTACCCGAATAAAAATGAATAAATTAAAATTTAAACATTTCCCCCTCATTAGCAAAACAAGGATTTACGCTAGCATGGCCTTTAAGATGCCCTCTAGTTTCAAAGTGTGATAAGTATTTTATTTTTTAAACTACACATGTATGCAAGTTACGTGATTCCTTCATCCTTTTGTTTAATAGCTATACCTTCCCGCCATGTTTACGTGGTAAGAACATAGTGAGTTAAAAGTTATAACAGAAATATGGACCAATGGACTGGACTTGAGAGCCTAGAAATAAACCCCTATATACCTGTGGGCAAATGACTTTCCAAAGGGTGCCAAGGTCATTCAATGGGGAAAAGACAGTTTCTTCAACAAATGCTTGGACAACTGGATATCCACAAGCAAAAGAATAGAGTTGGACTCAATTCACACCATCCATAAAAATTAACTCAAAACAGATCATAGATCTAAATATTAGAGACAAGACTATAAACTGTTAGGAAAAATGCAAATAAGTCTTTGCGCCAGAAATTTGGCAATGGTTTCTTACCTACGACACCAAGAGCATACACAACAAAAGGGGGGAAAAAAGGAATAAATTGGACTTCATCAAAATGATAAAGTTTTCTGCATCAGAAAATAAAAAGATAACCCATAAAACAGGAAAGGGATATTTGCAAATCATATTTCTGGTAAGAGACATATCTAGAAAATATAGAGAACTCTTAAAACCCACCAATAAAAAACAAACAACCCCATTTAAAAATGGACAAAGGCTATAAATAGACACTTCTCTACAAAAGGTAAACATGAAGCACAGCTCAGCACCGCCAGTCACCAGGAAAATGTCCGTGGAAGCCACGATGAGACCCTCTCAGACCCACCGACACAGCTGTGCGCAAAGGCAGCAAGGACGCAGCGAAGCCAGGGCCTGCATAAGCTGCTGGAGGGAATGGGAAATGGAGCAGGCCCTGTGGTAGCGAGCCTAGCAGTTCCACAAGATGCTAAACATAGAGTTACCATATGGCCTAGCCATTCTACTCCTAGGTATATACCCAAGAGAAATAAAAACATATGTCCCCATAAAAGTTGTATATGAAGGTTTATAGCAGCATTACTGATAATAGCCAAAAGGTGGAAACGACCTGCATGTACATCAGCTGATGAATGGATAAACAAAACATGGTGTGTTCACACAATGGATTATTGTCCATCCTTTAAAAAGCAATGAAGAACTGACACATGCTACCACACAAATAAACTTTGAAAGCGTCACACATCATGCTAAGTGAAAGAAGCCAGTCACAAAATACCACACGTTGGATACTCTATCTAAGCAAAATGTCCAGATTAGGCAGGTCCTTAGAGATCGAAAGTAGATTTGCCGTTGCCAGGGCTGGGGGTGGGGGTGGGGAGAGGGACTAACAGGTGTAGGGTTTCTTTGGGGGAACGTAAAAATGTTCTAAAATTAGAGAGTAGTGATAGATACCTTGACAAATCTAAATGTACAAAAATCACTGAACTGTACAGCTTAAAATGTATGGATAAATTTTATAGTAAGTGAACTACATCTCAATAAAGCCAATATTACAAAAGAAGAGGTTTGTATTATTATTCTTTCTTTCTTCCTCTTGCATCTCAAGTTCAAAAAGATTCCTGTGTGCCTGGAGTATGGATTCTTGTGGTTAAGTCCACTGCTTTCAGTAGGCCATGCCTGAGTCGACATCAGTCACCTTCCATGGGGACTTTAGGCCTTGGCAATGTCCCAAGACACTGACACAGCTGGGGAGGGAAATGTTACAGGAGAGCCCATCACAAAGAACGATACGGCCCCAAACATCAGTAGAGGCCGGGTTGAGGAACCGTGATTTACGTGTACATGGCACTAGATGAAGTGGGTCTTCGATGAGGGCTCTATGCAGTGGAGGCCCACAGGTGCCCTGAGCAGCCCACACCAAAGCCGGATGCCGGGCGGGGCTCTGGGACGCCGTGGCGCTGGCACACTGGGATGGTTATCCTGGAGGAGGGAGCCTGGTCTGCTTAGGCCATCAGTGTGTCCCCAGGTCTGAACATGCTCCAAGGTTCATCCTTTCCCAGTGCCCTCGGGCAACGGGAAAAGGCGGCCCTAATCCCCAGAGAGTGTGTCCTTAGGAGCGACCCCCTCTCCCAGCCCCCTCCTCAACTCCCCAGCTCCCTGACCCCCCTCCTTGCTCCCATTCCTCTCCATCTTCCATCCCCTTCTCTCCAGGGAACCTGATAAATATTATTCTAATTCTGAAATGTGCGATCCCAGCCTCACCTAATTAATTTGGATACGCCAGAGGAAATGGGTTAAGGCCTGAGCTACTTTCTAACCGCAGGAAAAAAACTGGTCACTGAGGAACAGGGAGCAGATTCTATAAAACAGCGGGCGGCAGCTTTCAGGGCTGGGACGCGCAGACTCCCTAAAGGAGAGGACAGAGAGGGACACACAGACAGTGACAGGCAGAGACAGAAGGACAGAAGTCGAGAGAGACAGACAAAGGAAAGAAGTGGACAGAGGTGGACAGAATGGAGCCAAAGAGATGGCAAGAGAATGAACGAGGCACAGAGAATGAGAGTTCAGGAACGAGGGAGAGAAAGAGACACAGACGAGGAGGCAGAGACAAGGGGGGACAGAATCAGAGGGACAGAGATAAATAGGCAGGAATAAGAGACAAAATGAGCAACAGTCCAAGAGAAATTCAGAGAAACAACGTGATTCAGAAGGCAAGAGGCATTCCGAGGGAGAGAGAATCGGAGGGAGAGAGACAGAGCTGGGCAGTGAGGACTGAGGAGAGGTTCCCGGCCACCCCACCGGCTCAGTGTCCTGCCTGTTCCCGCCTCCCCTCCCCCAGTGCCACTTTGGCTGCAATATCTGGACGTATTTTTTAAAAAACAACACTTTCTGCCTGAATCATCTGGATAACTGCCTCAGTGTCAGCTCCCTTCCGCACGTGGCTTCCTTGGCTGGCTTGTGGGGCTATGTGGCGGGCCAGGGAAAGTAAATTAACTGGGCGGCAAATCTGAGCGGGGAGAACAGTTGTTCTGATCCTTTAGGCTGGGACACGTCAGTGTCCTTCAGAACGTCTGCACGCTCACCATCTGTGTAACTGAGGTACTATTTCCCCTTTGCATAACGCTTAGTTTCTACATGTGGTCACCTGCCTCATC